CTTATACACTTCTTACATTTTTTTTTCCTGCCAAAAGATGTTTTTCACCCAACACAACCCAAAACAGAGAGCTAGATAGAGAAAGACAAGAGACCAAAGAAATTCGAGGTCGGCGGGATGGCTCGGTCTTGGATGATGGCGGCTTGTGCGCGGAGGACTTGGCTGTGATGAGAGCTCAGTTGACTCGATCGTGAACTGTGGAGGTGGCAGCGAGCTCAAGGGGGCTCGGCAGTGAACTGTGGACAGCTGTGTGCTCGAAACACAAACGGCGGTGTGCTCGGCTATGGAGATGGCGAAATAGGCCGGCGAGCTTGAAATGGATGGTGGAATGGACCGGCAAGCAAGGTGAGTTGAATAGAGGGCAAGGCGGTGAATGCGATAGGCTGATGCAACGGTGCAGAGAAATGCGATATATATGGCCAACGGATCTGGCGGGTGGTGCAACGGCTATGATGGAGCTATGATAGGAGACCCACCAATCCCAGCAACAAATTCCTCGGCTTCATTGTCCCTTTCAGTCAATCAATTCGCACAGATGGGGTAAACTGCAAAAAAATATATAATTCAGAGGGGTTTCTTGCACATACCCCAATAGTTTAGGGGGTTTTTTTGTAACTTTTATAGTTCTGGGGGGTTTCTTGCACACACCCCAATAGTTCAAGGGGGTTTTTTGCAACTTTTATAGTTCAGGGGGTTTCTTGCACATACCCCAATAGTTCAGGGGGGTTTAATGCACTTTATCAAAATATATATATATATATAATAAAAGAAAATAGAAAATAGAAAATAGAAAATAAGAAAAAAGAAGAAAATAAAATAAAACCAAACTGTAAACTTTTTTAGGGTTCTTTTTTGAACCATAAGTATTAGTTTAATTCGTAAACATGAAAATTTAAATAAATTTGCATGATCATGTATCCATGAATGTTGTTTTGAATAGAATAACTTATATTTAGCATAAACTCCTTAATTGTGGAGTTGCATAGTCAATGCGAGTGAATTGATAGGTTGGTGTGGCAATAAAAATAGTTTTACATTCCTAATGTTCAATAGAGTTTAGGCTTAGAGGATGGACCATATATCCTTCAACAATACTTTTTTTCTCTACTCCAAAATATAATAATCAAATACATTAATCTTTATACTAACTTTTTGTTTACATTTTTGTACGGCCTAAGCCATATTATATATATAAATGACCAAAATAATGATTAAACATGGGGACTTACGAGAAAAACATGGGGACTTACGTATCTTAGATTAGACTTGAGCAAATATCAAATGAATGTAGCTCACTAGGAGAAAATTTTATAGATGGAGCATTTAGTGGCTTGATAAGGAAGCCAAAGTCGTAATTTTGAATTTACAAAATTAAGGAAATTCGTAAAGAATTTTAATATATTATTGATAATTGAATGAATTAATTAATTTTTGCGCTAATTATATTTATAATAAAGAAAACTTATCAGCAAAAAGGAAATTAATACTAAAAATAAGTTTAAAAATAAAATTCCTCTAAAAATTGTAAAAAAAAATAGAAGAAAACAACCTAAATATTAAAAACTAATAAATATAAAAAGTTAGAACAATCCGACTTTGTTTTAAGGACATCGAACCTTCAGCTCACCATTTTTTTTCTTGACATTCAAAATTTCACACTCATTCAGAAAATTACATCGGTAATTTTAATATTTAAATTCACTCACTCAAGACAACACTCAATATTGAGAGCGCCAAAATGGTGAGTTGAATATCTTAAATTAGCTAGAATCATCATCTTATATTTCATAATGCATGGAGAAAATGAAACATGAATGTAGCATTAATTTTGGAATAGAATGAGAATCGAGGTGAGAATGGAATGGAATAGTCATTCCTTTTGTTAATTTGAAGGTGGAATGATTTTGATGGAATGACCATCTCTAAGAATAGTGGGGAATGATGATTCCAACTTTAAAATTGGCACCAAACACAAGAATGTGAAAAAATCCATTTCATTCCACATTCTTTTATGTTATTCCACCGCACCAAACTAACCCTTAATGATAAGTTATTTACTTCTTATTTATACACGGATATAAAAATAATATTCATGACTCTTAATTTCCCATTTGGTGAAAATAATACTTAAATCACAGTACTAAATCTGATTCTATATTATGGGGCTTTAAGAATGTGCGAGGCTAGGACAAACGAGGAGTAAATTTATTTCAAAAATTGTATACTCTTTTAATCAATTATTATTATGATTATTTGAAAAGTAAAATAATTCACTTGTACACTGTTTCCATTAAGATTTGAACTCATAACCTCTTTTTGAAGAAGTATAAATTTGGTATCACTAAACCACCCACCTTTGATAATAAATTAATTAATCTTCCTTTAATCACATAATAACCCGTACCTACACACATCCAGAGAGTATGAATCTCTTAATTAGGTATGTAGGTGTGGTAAAATAAAAAAATAAAAAAAATAAATAATAAATATAAACCCTCTTAATTTGGGATGCTCTATTTCACAACCAAGTCCTAAAAAATAAAAATAAAAAGAAGCAAGTAGGCCGGTGGGAGTCAATAGACTACTTTACTTCTGCATTTAAGACTCTATTTTTGCATTTAATCACAATGAGAAGTAAGCCAACCACCATTATAGCAGTGCTGCTTTTGCTAAAAGTTGCACAACGGCACTGGTCAGACATCATTCTGTCAATCTATATTTTCCTGTATATTCTTTAAAAAATCATCAATGTCCTAATGATAAGAAACTCTGAATTTTTCTTAATAAAGAAAAAAATATTTCAATTGTCTGTCCATAGAAACATATATAATATACACACGCATACATGATTTTGATGGAATGACCTTTCTCTAAGAATAGTGGGAAATGATGATTCTAACTTTAAAATTTGCACCAAACACAAGAATGTGAAAAAAAACCATTTCATTCCACATTCTTTTATTTCATTCCACCACACCAAACTAACCCTTAATGATACGTTATTTACTTCTTATTTACACACGGATACAAAAATAATATTCATGACTCCTAATTTCACATTTGGTGAAAATAATACTTAAATCATTATACTAAATCTGATTCTATATTATGGAATTTTAAGAACGTGCGAGGTTAGGACAAATGAGGAGTAAATTTATTTCAAAAATTGTATACTCTTTTAATCAATTATTATTATTATTATTATTATTGTTTGAAAGGTAAAATAATTCACTTGTACACTGTTTCCATTAAGATTTGAAGAAGTATAAATTTGGTATCACTAAACCACCTACCTTTGATAATTAATTAATTAATCTTACTTTAATCACATAATAACCCATACCTACACACATCCAGAGAGTGTGAATCTCTTAATTAGGTATTTAGGTGTGAAAAAATAATAATAAAAATAAAACTCTTAATTTGGATGCTCTATTTCACAAATGCATTTTTCCTTTTTTTTTTTTTATATTATTTTTTATAGTTAATTTATATATTTATTATTACAAGGGTCTCTTCACCTCCGTGGGTGACCAATTTCAAACCATGGGAAATAATCCATGAGGTCAAAGATAGATTGATGATGTTTCCAAAACTTCTTACCTTCTCAAGGCATTAAATTTTTTCTTTTCTTTTCTTTTTTCTTAAAAATTTAAATAAATGCGCTCAATTGCAATATCGACCACATAAATATTGCATACCCTTTCTAGTCAAATGCACTTTTTTTTTTTTATTAACTTAAATGACAAATATGTCCCTAATGCACTGATGTTTGATTTTTCTATTTATGAGTTAAGAATATTTATGTCATTTGTTCTGGTCGTGGGGTTAGCTGGTAGGATGGACTTTGGGTGTCTAGATGAATCCTATTTAATGTACCAAGTGTGGGTTCGAATTCCCTATGCTCCGTTAGTTTGCAAATTAAATATCACCTATTTCATGAACTCTCATCCAATGAGAAGACTTAAAATGCATTTGGTCAAACTTAATACTATCACCAAAAAGAGATTTAATTTTCCCTTATATTAAGATTTTGTGCTTAGGACTATAAATGAGCCGAGCAGAGTTTGGAGGTGTTTGGACTAGGCTCATTATATCTCTTTAGGTGTTCCAGCTCGAACAAGCCTAGCTCAATCATGATCGAACTCGACTTGACATTATTTAGTCAAGCTTGTTTATGAGACATCAATAATCTCCATGCACATGCATGCACGCGCACACGCACACGCACACTACATACATATATACTCAGACACTTAGGGCATGCATATTTATATCAATAAGCATATGTATATATATATATATATATACACACACACACATAAATATAACAATTATGCCGATATCTGAGCAGAAGAGGGAGAAAGAGTGATGACATATTCAACAAATAAAAAAGAAAAAAGATTGATGACAGAACATTTTCAAAAACAAAGAGAAAAATGAAGAAATAGTCAATAACAAATTTGAAAATATGCTACAAGTAGTGTTGTCCGTGTTTTAATCGTCATCACCGCCGACTACTCGCAATGGTTGCTTGGTTTGTATTTCTGTGTTGATGTTGCTTGATCCTTATCGATTTTCGCTTTATATTATTTGAATGAGGAAGAGATATTTTAATATTTTAGGATTACTAATTTGCAAAATGGATTATGAGACTTTAATTAGCTACGCAGGAGATGGATGATTTGAAATTGATTCATTTATTAAACAAAAAACTTGAGCCAAATCGAAGTGTGAAAGATTGGTGCATTTATAGCCGTATTTGACTTATTAGACCTCAGTGCACATGAGAAGACAAAATATACGTACCATTCTTCGGTTACTCTACTTCAATTTGTTGTTTTACCCTTTTCCTGCATTTCTTTATATATATGCACATTTCATTTACGTATTCTCATTATTTACTCCTTCATTTTCTTGCATTCCAATCACAAATCCCACAAGACACACAAGACATTTTACCAAAGTACTACCTACCCCTCTCTCTCCCTCCGTTCAACATGATTACAGGAAAGGACATCTATGATGTTCTTGCGGCACTTGTGCCACTATATGTTGCCATGGGATTGGCCTACGGCTCAGTCCGGTGGTGGAAGATCTTCACACCGGACCAGTGCTCCGGCATCAACCGTTTCGTCGCCGTCTTCGCGGTCCCACTCCTCTCTTTCCATTTCATCTCCACCAACAACCCTTACGCCATGAACTACCATTTCATCGCGGCGGACTCTCTCCAAAAGGTAGTCATTCTCGTGGCTCTCTTTCTCTGGCAAGCCTTCAGCAAAAAAGGAAACTTGGAGTGGATGATCACTCTCTTCTCTCTCTCTACTCTCCCCAACACTCTTGTCATGGGCATCCCTCTGTTGAAGGCCATGTACGGAGACTTCTCAGGGTCTCTAATGGTCCAAATAGTGGTCCTACAAAGCGTCATATGGTATACGCTAATGCTTTTCATGTTCGAGTATAGAGGAGCAAAGCTTCTTATTAATGAGCAGTTCCCGGAGACTGCAGGGTCCATCACTTCTTTCCGGGTTGAGTCCGACGTCGTGTCGTTGAACGGCCGGGAGCCTCTTCAGGCCGACGCCGAGATAGGCGAGGATGGGAAGTTGCATGTGGTGGTCAGGAGATCTAGCTCCTCTTCTATGATTTCGTCTTATAACAAGTCTCATATAACTTCAATGACTCCCCGGGCGTCGAATCTCACCGGAGTGGAGATCTACTCCGTGCAGTCTTCCCGGGAGCCGACCCCGAGGGCTTCCAGCTTCAACCAGACTGATTTTTATGCCATGTTTGCGAGCAAGGCTGCAAGTCCGAAACACGGGTACACAAGTAGTTTTGGAGGAGGGGGAGTTGGAGGTGGGGATGTTTTTTCTTTGCAGTCATCGAAAGGGGCGACGCCGAGGACGTCGAATTTCGAGGAGGAGATGTTGAAGATTGGGAAGAAGAGGCAAGGAGGGAGGAGTATGAGTGGGGAGCTATTCAATGGCGGTTTGGTTTCCTCCTACCCGCCTCCGAATCCGATGTTTTCGGGGCCGGCCGGTAATAGTGGGGTTAGGAAGAAGGAAGGTGGAAGTGGCGGTGCAGTGCCTAACAAGGAGCTTCACATGTTTGTTTGGAGCTCAAGTGCTTCTCCTGTTTCTGAGGGGAATCTTAGACATGCAGTTAATAGAGCTGCTTCTACTGAGTTTGGGGTCATTGATTCTTCTTCTAAGGGTACTGTTCTTCAACAAGACATTGCTGCATCAAAGGGTACATATCCAAACAACCCTTTTCCATTTTTCCTTATAGTGTTGTCTCTTAGTCATGATTTCATAAAAACAGGCTTTTTAGGCTGACAAAAGAGTGCCTTTTTTTTCCTTTTCAATCTGATCTTTTCTTGATCATTACAAACGAAATTAGTCTTTTTCTTTATATATATATATATATTGGATTTATTGATTCTTGATGTATAGGCATGCATGATTTGATGGAAAATGGAATTGGTGCTGGGAAAATCAATGGAGATAGGGAGATTGAGATAGAGGATGGTTCGAAATTTCCGGCAAGTGGTTCCCCCTTTGCAAACCAGAAGAAGGTGGACATGGAAGAAGGAGATGCAGACAAGAAGCAACAGATGCCACCTGCTAGTGTCATGACAAGGCTCATTCTTATCATGGTTTGGAGGAAGCTCATTAGAAATCCCAACACATACTCAAGCCTTCTGGGACTCATTTGGTCTCTTGTATCATTCAGGTACACTCACTAGCTTAAACCATTTACAATTTTTACTCTGTTTCATGCATATCCATTTTGAAACAACCATTTCATTTATGGAAAAAAGTAATTGAACTTCTGTTTACAATACAAATGGGGATAGAGACAAATCTGCTTAAGTGGTTGTTGGAAGTGTTTGAAACAACTCTGCTAGTAACTTGCATTGTTTTCAACAATTTTGTCACTCTGTCAAACCACATCCACTCTCTTTTTTGGCTTTGTTCTTGACACAATTTAATGCCACTTATCCATGCACACACAAGAATCTGCTATTCTCACTAAGGCATCAAATTTAATCCACTAAACCAATCTTGTTTTAATGTAGTATAAACTCACAGTCAAGTGCACAAATGTAGAATGACACCATTCTGATGAACATGACAAGTAATTTAAAGATATAATCTAGATTAGAAATGAATTTATGTTTCACTAATTCTAAAATGAATTTCTTTCTTTGCATAGATTCCTTTTTTCTTCTTCTTTAATTCTAGTGTTAACTACTGACTAAACACTCTTTTCCATTATTTCTTAAAACCATTCTCTTCTCTAATTACATAACAAGACAAAATGACCATGTGCTCTGTTTCATGAGAACAATTGCTAAATCCAACTTAAATTGTTATTAATTTGCAGATGGAACATCCAAATGCCATCCATTGTACATGGCTCGATATCAATCTTATCCGACGCAGGACTTGGAATGGCCATGTTCAGTCTAGGTACATACTCAACTAATAATTCAAGTTTCTGAAATTCACATCATGAAACACTAAATAACGAATTTGAAATTCTTTTAAAATAATTTCTGGGGTCAACAGGTCTATTCATGGCTTTGCAACCAAAGCTCATAGCCTGTGGAAAGTCTGTCGCGACATTTGCAATGGCAGTTAGGTTCTTGACTGGTCCAGCAGTGATTGCAGCAACCTCCATTGCTATAGGTCTGCGCGGTGTTCTTTTACATGTCGCGATTGTTCAGGTTCTCCAACTCTCTCTTCAATAGAATAATCTCAAATCTCTAATAAACTGAACTTCGGATTAAAATTTTCAATTTTTTGCTTGCAGGCAGCTCTTCCCCAAGGGATTGTTCCCTTTGTGTTTGCAAAAGAGTACAATGTCCATCCAGACATACTTAGCACCGCGTAAATTTCTTTTCTCATAATTAATTACTGTTTTTTAACACATGAATTAACATTTATATATGATTCAATTGATAGTGAAAAATGATTAAATTGATTTGGAGATTTTCAAATTTTGCAGGGTTATATTTGGAATGCTGATTGCCTTGCCCATCACAATACTCTACTATGTGCTGCTTGGGCTCTAAGTTTTGGCAGAGAAAGATGATATAGTAGTTTGGTGAACCCAAGAGACAAGATTATGTGGATCAAAGTAGAAATGGTTTTTAAAATGTGCCATTGGATTCAGTGCATAACTTGGAAACTATACACCTTTTGCTTCTAATTTTTTTACTTCTTTCTCTGCTGTTATTCATATATTTTAGTAATTAATATATGTTCAACCAGTTAGTTTGGTAGAAGATGAAAGAGTTAGGCTTCATCAAACATTATAAAAACTAGAATTTATGGATGTATTTGGTAATTGGTACATCTTACATTAATATCAATGTAGTTCTTCACTTAGCATTGACTATCTAGCCTATTTTATATATATATATATATAGTGTACAATGAGTACAAGTCCATTAAAGTTGCTCCAAACAAATCTTGTAAAATTATGCTGGTGTCTGCTGAGCTTCATGTCACATGAAAAGCCAAAGAATGCGGTTTGAGTTCAAGACACTTTGAAAACTCAATTTAATTTTTAATATGCACTTGTTTAATTAATTAAGATAAGATAAGATGATCTAGGGCTTAGATTTGATTTATCATTCATTCATTTAAATTTCCTATGCATGTGATGTGAATGGTTGAGTTCAGAAATGGGAATCAATTGTGGTGGGAAGAGAGAAGGTAGCTTCAGTGCATTGTTTCAAAATCTTACCTTCTAAAAATGCAGTAATTAATTTCTGGCATCATTATTATTATTATTCAAATGGTTGAAGCATGTGATTGTTTGATTAATTAAAAGGGCACATATGTTGAGTTATAAGTTAAATATGACAGAGGATTGATGCAGTTTGAAGACAAAAGTTACTGTTTTGTCCAAATATTGTGATAGACAAATAGGGTTTTGTCCAATACTACTCTGCATTTCAACTTCCAGGTCTTGATTTGAAGGAAACACATTGCATCAGAAGTACAGAGGAGGCCCATTACTATGTTCCAAAATCATTATTTTCAAAACTCTCAGAAGAACTGACTTGTTTGGAGTCTTCTCAACCTATTACACAGATCTGTTCTAACTTTACTCAAAACACTTTGAATCTTACACAGATAGATCTGTACATATAATTGAGCCAGTGCTTGGCATAATGATTAAAATTGGATTTTCTGAATTTGAATTTTGAATCAAAGACACAGATAATTTGAGATTTTTTTTTTTTTTTTTCGCCATTGGTTTTTACCTTAAAATGATCTAGTCATTGACAAAGACCACTGGGAAAGGCTTTGCCAAATTTGGCTTATCGGAAAGACTGATTTACCAAAACCAAAGACAGTAGGTGAAAGCACCTTTGGGCACTGGCCTACACGTCTAAGCTCTCCCTTCCAAAGAGCTTGAGAGGTTGAGTGTTCGAGTTTCGATGAGACAACGTATAGTGTCTTTGCATTTGCTTTAAACTTTCTGGAAAAGAAAAAAAAAAAAAGTTACCATAAGTGATAAGTGGCCATTTTACCAAAAACTTAACAATAGAAAATTCAATTAAGTAACAAAAAGTATGGATACTTGTCACCAGTAATCACTATTCCAACATGAAAAATAATATTATTAAGCATCTTAGCATTTTTAAAAAGTGTAGTGTTACTTGGGTCGAGAAGTTAAATAAAATTTCTTGATCCGAAAGTGTAGATTAGTGGGATGCAACAAATAAGAGGGGGAACTTCCGAGTAGATATTGAATGCCGCAGACATATTCAATCAAACCGATCTCACCTACATACAAAAACCGTTCATCAATGACATTATCCCCACTTCCTTATATTTTTGCATAAATTAAGTTAAATAAATAAATAAATAAAAGGGTCATAGTTTCTTTAAGAAATTAAGATAGTCAACTGATAAGTTGAGAATCAGAATCAACAGTGTCATTTAAAGCTGTTGGGCTAAGAAGTGACCCTAAGTCAGCTACATCAAATCCCAAGTAGATTTGAATGGATGAGCACCAAGGTGGAATTATTAATACTACGGACGACGTCTGAATTTATTATAGTAATAGTGTACCCTTGCATGTCTTGCAACCTTAATAATAGGTTCAAAACAACGCATGTGGTCCATGTTCCTTATAATCTCATCATAGTGTGAACCCTACCAGCATTGTACGAATATTAATTTTTTTATATTCATAGGATTCAAGATTAATGGTTTCCCACACACAAATAATATTCAAGATTCTTAATGATTTTGTTTTGCACAAGTCATAAGTATGTGCATGTAAGTACAATAATAATGAATGCTACATCCAATTTCTCATAAATTCAAAATCTAATTCTGAAATAACACATCAGGAAAAGTCATATTCTCTTTGTTGGAATATACTTCAAAGTATATTTATAATTTTTTTTTATATAAATATATATATAAATGTATTATGTATATAATTAAAATCTAAATTATTTCAATTCATACCCCATTAGTAATAATTTTAATTCATTTTTTAGAATTATTAATGCCATTTAAAGTTTCACGTAAGGGACGAACGTACCCTACAGAAGTATGCATATATACCGTATATAATAGCAACAAAGTGTTGCATAGATATATGTATGTGTGTGTGTGTGTTTTTATTCAAATCATTGTTATACATTATTGTATAACATACATAGGTCTCACGTGGACAGCGAAACAGTGCATTGATTTAAGTTGTGGATTGGTTGTACTTGCAGTAAACATTTACAACTATGTGAGTTCACATAGACATGTCTTCATTAAACAAAAGGACCTGAAGAATTTCTGTAAACCCAAGAGCAGACACCATGCATCCAAGGACAGCAGAGCTCTTGCTCATGTGGGGACACTAACACCATCACTGTCCTCACTCCTCCTCGCCCCTCTCTCTCTCTCTAGAAATATCTATACACACACATATATATACATGTGTGTGTAAAATGAATGATTGGTTCTTCATGAGTTCCAACTTCCAAGGTTCTGAAATTTTGTCACATTGATGTATACCATCTGTGAAAGTTAGGTAGGTCTTTTCAAGTTTGTAATCGCTTGATCTACATTTGATAAGTCAACAGTTTGCATTTACAGTTTTCAGGGAAAAAAAAAAATGCAGATGAATAGTTATATCACCCAGGACATTATGCAAATAGTTACTGTATATCACCCAAAAATTTATGTAAGAGCAACAGTGAGATTTTTTTTGTAATTTAATGGACCCCCCTGCCTATCAAGTGGAGCCCCGCCTATTATGTCATATAAATAAAAAGAAAATTAGTAAAATTATTATCCATAACCACCTGACTTTTTCTGTTTTTCATCAAATATTCCTAAAAAAAAAAAAAAAATCACAGAAATTATTTGATTTCTTGATAAAGTTAAATTTGAAATGATGTACTTTTAAATTTTGTGGTATTCAAATAATAAAATGACAATTTTTTTTTATAATTTTATTGAAATTATTTCATGGTAATTAAATATATAATAAAAATTTTATTTTCTTTTTACTCACTTTACTTTCTTTTACTTTTTCAAACGTCACCACTTTTAATATCCATCTAATAGAACTCACTCATCACTATTAATATTGCTACGAAAACACAAGAAAGATTGCAAACCTTTATGTATTGTATATTTATTTTATTTTTTATTTACAACAAATGTAGTGTTATTCACCAAAAAGCTTTATGTAGTTGGTCAATTCAGTAATAATAGAAATTACATTAGTAATTAAGCTTCATGGATACGCCAAAAAAGAGTATGACTCTCGAATTTTGTACTGTGTGTTTAAAAGAGGGAGTTTGCACACACAGACAAAGAACTAAATGAAAAGGGGGGAAAAAAAATCAAAACAAAACAAAACAAAAACAAAGACTACTCTATTTGTTTCATACAAATACAAAACTAAAATAAGTAACTTTTCTGAAAAATTGACCTCTTAATAACATTAATTTAAAGAAAATAATTTAAAATTCAACATACTTTAGTAGAACAACTCTTATTGTTTTATGTGAGTGTTGTGTGGGTCACACACATAAAATTAATCAGAGTTGACCAACTTTCCGACTTTGCATTATTATTCTTGATTAAATGAATATATTTTGTAGAGTTTTATTTTCCAATCCATTTTGTTCAAAGGGAGCCGAACACAAAATCTTTTAGAAGGCTACGATTTTTGTGACATATTGTCCAACTGTACTTATTTTTGTCACCAAACACATTCTATTGCAAAATTTTAAAATGAAATCGATTTTTAATTATAGAGAAGCATTTGAAGGGCCATCAATTTATTTTTATAATTTTTGCAAAGAAAGGGCCATCTTGGTTTTAGAGGGAAAAAACCAAGAAAATCCATATGGTTCGCATTTTTGGACAGGCCCAGTCCAAAGTAATGGCAGGATCCAGGGGAGCTAAAAAGTCCTGTGTGCCCTAAGGCCCATCTCAATCCAAGTGGCACTGAAGCGCCACAAGGTTTGTTTGGAAAGGAGTGAAAATCACCTTCAGTGAAATAATGCAAACATTTGCTCCATTTTTGTGAATAAATAGTACTTACCATAGTGGGTAAAAAATTATATTTGCTTCATACATAATTTTTGTATATATATATATATATACACTGTTCAAATATATTTTTCTTTCCTCCCTTATTTCTTCTTCCCTCTCTCCTTCATTTCAGCAACCCATTTGAAATAAAATTGAAATCCCGCCACCCAACCCTTCTTCTCTCCCAAAATATCAATCAGTTTAGAATTTGATTTCTTTCCAAATAGATTTTGATTGAAATCCCGCCACCCAGCTACTCTCCTTCTCTCCCAAAATATCAATCAACCCAGTTTAGGATTTGATTTCTTTTCAAATAGATTTTGATTTCTTTCCAAATAGAAGCAGGAATCAAGCTTTATTTCCAAATAGAATAAGCGATTCTATTTCCAAATTGAAGGTCATATTAGACTTCTCCAAATCGAAGCAAAAGGTACGATTTCTTTGTTTATGCCATTCTTATGGAAATAAGAGGATTTACTTGAAAATAAAATCTGAAAATTATACCTGTATCCCAAATTATCCTTATTTGCTCCAGCACAACAATTTCCCAACTGCAGCACAACAATTTCCCAACATGTAACATATATCCCAAAGTATTTGTAAAGTGGTGCATCACAACATTTTCCTAAAGTATATCCCAACATTTTCGTACAAACATCCCAACTTATTTGTAAAGTGCACCCTAACATTTTCCTAAGGTGAATCTCAACATTTTGCTAAGGTGAATCCCAACATTTTTCTAATGTGAATCCCAACATTTCCCTAAGGTGGCGTACCATTTAAAATGGTACTATTT